TTCTCTTTTCCTCCCTCTATTTTTCCCTCCCTTTCCTCCTTCCTTTCACTTGTACCTTCTATCTTTTCCTCCTCCCTTCCTTCCCTCTCTCCCTCCTTCCTCCCTCTTCCCTTTCTTCTCTTCCCTTTTCCCGCCCCCCCCCCCCCAGATGCTGGAGCTGCTGGGCTGCCTGCCTCCCCTCGTCTTCCTGCTCACTGCCTGGGCTCTGGACTCTCTCCTCTACACCATCTTCAGCACCATCCGGAACCACTCCTTCATCCGGTATTCCTTCCGCAGTGAGTGCCGACCTCTGACCTCCCCCCCCCCGCCTTGGATGAATCCGCACCGTGGTCCGGAAGGGCAGCCGGTTCCTCTCTCTCCCACCCCTTCCAATGGCCCAGCCCTCCATCCTTGGGCAGAGGGGAAATCAAACTCACACCCAATTGAATGCAATTGAATGGAGATCCTTGGGGGAGGTAGAACTTTGGAGAGGGACTTCGGAGGTCATTTAGTCCAACCCCGTGGCCAGGCAGGAAACCCTAGAACGTTTGACACAAAATGGTTGTCCAGGTTGTTGTTGGAAGCCCCCAGAGGGAGGGATGGAGGGAGGGAAGGAAATAAAGGGAAAGAAAAGGAAAGAAAAGAAAGAAAGAAAGAAAAAAGAAAGAAAGAAAGAAAGAAAGAAAGAAAGAAAGAAAGAATAGCAGATTAACAGAGTTGGGAGGACCTTAGAGGTCTTCTAGTTCAACCCCCTAGGAGGGAAGGAAGGAAGAAAAGGAAGAAAGAAAGAAAGAAAGAAAGAAAGAAAGAAAGAAAGAAAGAAAGAAAGAATAGAAGATTAACAGAGTTGGGAGGACCTTAGAGGTCTTCTAGTCCAACCCCCTAAGAGGGAAGGAAGGAAGGAAGGAAGGAAGGAAGGAAGGAAGGAAGGAAGGAAGGAAGAGAAGTAAATAAATAAATAACAGCAGAATAACAAAGTTGGGAGGGACCTTAGAGGTCTTCTAGTCCAACCCCCTGCTAGGCCATTTCAGACAGGTGGCTCTCCAGTCTCTTCTTGAAAACCTCCAGTGTTGGAAAAGTGCCAGATTAGGCACTGGGAGACCCGAGTTCAAATCCCTTCCACCGTCCAACTCAACTCTAGGGATGCCTTTGAGCCAGGGGGAGAAACCCTGGTTTAATCAAAGCTGGCTTAACCAAACCTTCCCCTGCCTTCCACGCAGGCAGCCACCACTTGGAAGTCCAGGTTGGCGGGGAGACCATGATGGCCCGTCTCCTCCGGAGCACCATCGGGGCCCTGAACACGTCGTCAGAAATGGTGATGGAGGCCAACAACCTGCGTAAGGGGGTGGGGAGAGAAAGAGGAGGGGGCAACTGGCCCCGGATGGGTGGGAGGGGAGGGCTTCTGCTCAGCCAATCAGACGTTTCACCTGCATTTTGCTGCTAGACTTCCTCTGCTGCTGGAGGCTCTATTACGATGGTTCTCGAACTTTGGCAGTTTTAAGATGGATGGACTACAGCTCCCAGAATCCCTCAGCCTGTGTGGTAAACTATAACTCCCAGAATCCCTCAGCCACTATGATAAACTATAAC